ATCTTGTTTTGGGATAACAGGAACGTTTGATTTAAGTCTAGTGATGATATTTAAGTGAGTTATAGTACCGTAGTAGGTGATCTTTGATGATTTGAAGAAGATGGAACTATAAAGAGGAAGTTTATAATATTATTTTTAACTAGGTATAACTGTGTAGCCGTAAAAATGTTATGGTAGCCCAGAGGTCAAGAGGATTCCCCATCAAACGCGTTCAAGACTTAGCAAATACCAGTATTGAGTTTATCTTGGAGTCTGAATCATGATTAAGGAATGCATCGTAAGGAAACTCAATCTTAAAATAAAATACTCGTCTTAAAAGAGAAGGTGGATAAATTGTCGAAGAGTGAGATGAAATGGAAAAGAGTTTGTAATAAGATGACGGTTGACGGGAGAATGGAAGAGGAGTCCAAATAATATGGAATAGAGGCAAGCAAAAGAAAAATTAGTATAGAATGTTCAAGACTAGATAATATTATATTTATTACAAAACGCAGTCAGACTAACGTGTTAATAAAGACAAATAACAACACATAAATTAAAAATTTTACAAAAATTACCTCCCTACACAATTTAGGGCTTATTCGCAAGAAAGCTTTTCCTAAGGTGACTGACTTTTAGTTTACCAAATACTAAGCAGTGTTTCTTTAGATAAATACTAAATTAAAAACTTAATCTACAGCCTCGTTGGCCGAGAGTAGTGGAGTGGTTGAACTAGAGCGACTGCCGGGCAAGGGGTCTTTTTTTAAGGGGGGAAAATCATCGAATGATTGAGGCGGGAGGGAGTGTCAGACTCTTACTAACTAAAAACCACCCCGTTCTCCTGCACGTCGAGCTAGGCTTCGATTCTCGGGTCGGACAAAGTATTACTGGGTCTTTTTTCTTAAAATCTCAGTAGCAGCACGGAGTCTGGAATTGTGCCCGGTATATGACAATAGGCTCACCCCCTGCTACATGGGGATCATAACATAAATAGTGAAAAGTGGCCCTTACATTGTACAGAAGCAGTGATGTTATTATGATGTTAAAAATTGATCTATTTGAACGCTTTTTTAACGCAATGTTTAAAAATCACCAGTGCGAATAGTGCCTTAGTATATGTTGAACTATTGAAAGCAAAATTATGTTCACACTATATACATAGTACATACATAGATATATAAGTCAAATACACACTTCCAAAGAGATTACTAAGTAACGATTAATTCAGTGTATTCACTATAATTCCGCAAATCATTGAGGATCTTACCATGACCGGTCGTTTTATGTAGTTGTGTAATATATGTACAATGACGTGATACTATTTGTGTACTATTGTGTGTACTATTTCATACACTTTCTATTTAAATACATTCTACTTAAATATAGCGTACACTGATGCGCTTACGTCAGTGTTTGAATCGAAGCTTATTTAATAACCAGCTTCTGCCCGCGACTTCGTACGCGCAATCCCGTTTTCTCGCGTTCCCATACGATTTTCAGGATTTTTTTTTCTATCATAAGAACCTTCTCCTGACAATAAAAACACAATAAAATCAGCCAAATCGGTCCAGCCGTTCTCAAGTTATGGCGTGGCAACGGGAAACGGGAAACGGGTAAAATATAAGTTGTTAGTGAACTTATGTTCTCTAAACCAGAAATATATGACTTCTTTATTTTTAGTTAATTATAAAATTTGGCACAGAGATACATTACCCTTATTTTATACTTACTAAGTATAGTAAAAAGTATACATTAAAGGTATAGAGAAAAAGTGTGTTATCCCTTTAGTGTGGGCGAAACCGCTGGCAGACGCTAGTAGGCTCATACATATTTAAATCTGAACTCAAAACTGACGTCATTAAAAGCAGTTTTTGAATCTCAAAGTCAACAACAGTTAGCTGCTAAATAAGCTCATTAGACAGACGACTGACTAATTCTATGACGGTACAAGAGTCCCTCCTCTGTATAACAACAGGAATAGGGATTTATTATTAAACTTACTTACATTATTTTGCGCTTCAAAAATTTTACTTTCCCTCTTGTATTGTACCTATATCTCGCCTCGCCTGACACAGGATGTCCTAGTTCAGGCACCTTATATTGTGAACTTTATATAGCTTTAAGCATATTATAACTGTATATTTCTAGACTATTAATGTTTGAAAATAAATTTTAATTATTTATTATCATATTTGTTTTTAGGCAAACGCAGTGTAGGGCGCCCTCCAGCTAGGTGGAGTGACGACATCTGCATAGCTGGCAGTAGTTGAAAGAGAAGAGCTGGAGACCGAGCTTAGTGGAACGCCATTGGAGAGGCCATGTCCAGCAGTGGACGAACACAGGCTGATGATGATGATGATTTGTTTATAAATTACTTAAAAATTATATTCGACAGTCACTACTCTCTGTCTGTCTAACAGTGTGTATTATACAGAGGCCTTAGTATGAGTTTGTTTTACGTTTAAAGTAATCGTAACGAGTACGCGTTCGGCGCTGTGATTGGTTGCTTCATTGGCGCCGGCCAATCAGAGCACCGAACGCGAACTCGTTTCGAATACTTTAAACGTAAATCAAACTCGTACTAAGGCCTCTGGTGAGTTGTAACTCGACGTATTCCTCTCGGGAAGTAATAAAACAACAAATATTCTATAAATTTTGCCCCGAGTCTGAAAATAGCTAGTTTCTGAGATATTCAACATTTTCGGTTTTGGTAATAAAATTTCGAACTGACTACAAAAACATCAATATATAAAAAAACTACTGATTTGATTTGATTTAAGCTGTTAAAGTTTTTATCAGTTGTTAATACATCAATAAACATTTATTATATCTTATGATACAGGCATTCGTTCTAAAATACCATGTACATTCTTATCAATTTTTTTCTCAATTACCATTACATAGATCCAGTCTTTAATATTTCGAACTACTGATTCTGATATTCTAAATTCAAAACTGGCCAAGTACGAGTCAGATGTCGTAGCGAGATACAATTGTGTCTAACGCCATCTATCGACAAGTAACTGAACTTTCAAATAATTTATACATATAAAAAAATAATTTGTATGAAAAACAGACTCCCAGCTACAGTAGCAAGTGATTCCTCTAAGTTATATATAACTGGTAATGATATAAGTGACGTGTGAGCAGTAAGCGGTAAATAAGCTTAGATGACCGCGTCAAGAGTCGCGCCTCGCACTGTAATCTCATTTGGAATCATGCAACATGGGTGTATTTTTATAAAAAATCAGTTTACGTATACTTACGCAATTCTTGCATACGTATGATAAATATTATGCAGCAATTTTACTTACTTCTCTAACAAGCATTGTTCAGGGTTAAACTTTGTATTGGGTAAACGTAATCGCTTCTTGCGTTAGTGCAAAAATTGACTTCATATTGCGTAGTAAAACTATTTAAGCTGATATTTTCCGTATTGTGACGACAGATAATCCTATCTGTCGTCATGAGATGATGATAGAGATGACAAAGTATCCACTTTGTCATCTCTGTTCTTTCTAAGGGTATGAGGTATCGTCTAAGTCAAATAAGGAAACGCCCTTTCGACAGATGTGCAGTCCGTTGTGCATATAGCAGCGCTCTCTGTTAAACCTGAGCTTTTAACTGCGATCCCCAACCCGTTTGTCAACCATGGGCATAACATAACATCATGCCTTTTATCCTCGTACAAT